CACCGTCCACACATGATTTGCAGTGTGCCTCCCGACACGTCAAATGACGTCTCAGAAAGAACCAACAAAGTACGAGAATGCGCTTCAAATTTTGTTAGCCGATTTCAGTCCCAGATGGCAATGAGCAAATCAGAGATACATACCCGACGGCCAGTGACACGGCACTCAGACCAAATAAAGCCCGGTTCCGTACGCGGAGCTTCTTGACCTGCACCTCGGTGGTCTTGGCCTTCTTCGACCGCGGCTCCTCGACGACCTCCTTCTCCTCATCCTCATCGTCTCCTTTTGAAATCTCTTCGGCTCCACGCTTGCTCTTGGCCTTGGGACTGTCAACGCCTTCTGACTTGATGGCGGCCGCCTCGACCATTTGCTTCGCCTCCGCAATCATACGCGCAGTCTCCTCGGCAGATGGTGGCTCTGCGCTCAACAGAGGAAGCTCTAGTGACACGGCAGTGTGCTTAGTCTCGTTGCCGTCCTCATCCGTCTTGATAGCTTGGTCAACTATGACCTTGGCCTTGGGCTCTTCTTCCCTAGCCTCGAATACAAGCACTGGTTCCGTCTCGACAGTCTTGACAATGGTCTTGATCTCCGCTTCGGCGTCCTTGTCCTCTTCAATAACGCCGTTGACTTCCAGCTTGGTGGCAATTGTGGGCGTAGATTCTCTAGGCTCAACAGAGTCGGCCTTGGCCCGGCGCTTTCTGGGCGATCGGACAGGTCTAGGGAGTGTCGTGGCAGCGGCGGCCTTGGTAGGGCTTGCTGAGCGGCGAGATCGAGTGCTACGAGGGAGTGAAGTCGGGGTAGGAGGAGCAAGCTGAGGGTGAGCCTTGAGAAGCTCGTACTTGGGGGGCGCCGTAATCTTCTTAGGAGGGCTATCAGGGGTGTTGGAAACGGCAATAGTCGCGGGATCCAGTAGGGCGCGGATCCAAGGCCCAACGCCGTACTCCTCGGCCAGCGCCAATGCATGGTCTGGAGGAATCCAGACGTTGCCGGCAGTCTCCTCGGGACTGGTAGAAGCGAGTGACTTAATGTACTTGCGTTCGGCCTCTTCTTCGGCGGCCTCGGCGTAAGGGAAAGTGGCCTTGAACATTCCTGTCGCAGAAACAAAGCCGTCGTGGCTGCGTCGCATCAAGAAGTAGCTGTTAGGGCTGGACTTGAAGATGCCAGAGACGATACCCTTGGGCAAGGGAGCGCGGAGGTGGGCATAGTCGAATACACCGAGAGCAGCGCCTTCCCCTTCGGCCAGGTTGACCATCTTGGCCGTCAGCTGAGTCTGACCGAGTCGACGACGGGCTACGAGGTCATCGTCTAGAGTCTGGTTAGCAAGCACAAAGTGCTAGGCGCAGTCAATTGTTCGTACAACGGGGCACATCCTCAGTCATGAGGGTGTTGCGCTTTGCGGGCAGGTGCCGCTCGTGAGCTGTAGCAGAAGGCATTTCGGAAGTGTGGGACAGAGCGCGTAAAATTGGCGATTAAATTGGGTACGTTCAAAGGAAGTTTGCGATGCGCGCTGGCGGCAATCGAGGAGTGGTGTCTTCCAGGTCGCGTCGACGATGGGCTCGATCGGAGGAAGGGACTAAATCGTCGCGTCAGCTTGAGGGCAGGTAGGAGCGCATAGATGGCGCGCAAAGAAGAGAATGATGGTGAGGTCTGTGGTAGGTGTCGCTTACCGAAGACTCGTTGGAGCTGACGGGAGCTGGCGATGGAGTTGGATCCTCGGAGCGCCAACGTGACGTGACGGGTCTGTCGCGTAAAAAAAAAAAAGGGTGCAGGGGTGGGTTGGCGATGCGGTTGATGAAGAAAAAAGATTATAATTGATTGTAGGCAATGGGAACAGCGATCCCGATAAGGGCACAGGCACAAAGGGCAAAGCTGTCTCAAAGGATGGATCGAGGGGAAGAAAGAAGATGTGGAGGGAATGTGTGTGAGAGAGTAAGGTGTGGTAGTGGTGGTGTGAAGGAAAGAGGGAGGGACGAGTCGCGGGATAAGAGAGAGAGAGGTGGTGGTGGTGACTTGTGAGGAGGAGAGGACGGGGGAGGAAATGGAAGGAAGAGAGGCGGCCCCGGGACGGGAAGAGCCTGAAGCTGGGCTACTTTTGCGCGCGCAAATTGGAGCAGTAGGTACCTCACCACTCGAGTCTCCAGCAGCGTGTCTCGTCCACCGGAGCGTGTGGCAGCAGCAGTAGTAGAGCAGTAAGAGAAAGAGAGCTTCACCTCAAACTTTGGGGGTCCTCCTGCTCATTGGGTAAGATTGGAGGGAGGGGTGGAACTGCGGGTTCGGAAAGCGAAGCGTGACGGCGTGACCCTGACGCGAGAAGCCTGAAGGTCGAAGAGCACGTAAAAGGCACTATTGGAACGAAGTATGCGACATAGATGAATACCTCTGTTAATCAATACTATAACACTGGAAGAGATGTACCTGTCTATCGCGACTGCCACTTGCCGCATTTGACGACCAGCACTCCCGGCGCTTTCCCCGGAAATGCAGTTAGAACGGATAGATACATCCTGCCAGCTGCGCAAGGTCGGAAGAAAAGTCCCTGACTCCTGAGGAAGGAGGGAAGGAAGATTATCGATGCGACGGTCCCTTCCTTCTTTGCCTTTACCCGTTGCGTGACCCATGTCGCTTCTTAAGCCAAGCCGAGAGAAAGTTGAGATTTTGACACTCAGGTTTTCTGTCCCACTGAGCACACGTTTCCTCAGAGAAGCTCTTCAGTCTGCCCCCCCGGTCTGTCCCCAACAATTTTCGTCGCGAACGCGCAGAGCTTTGGACACCCTGGGCGCCGTTCGCAGTCTCCAGCCAAGCGGAGACAAACGAGCCACAGGCCACAGGATTCTAGGTTCTTCAAGCTCGAGAGGGTCCAGTGTCTCTTCTCCCATTTCACCAAGGTATGGAGTACTGAGTACTCCGTACTGTGTCCGTACTTCTCCAGCATGCCATGCATGGATATCCCCCCTTTCAACTTGGTCGACATCCTTTCCTTGCACCGAGATTGAAAGCGGCGGCAGCACCAGAGCAAGCAGCGCGGGGGGCCCTTACCCGGCTACGATTATGCCTAGCAACGGGCGAACTGCAGCTATCCCGCCTTCAGCCCATCATTCGACCACGTTTCCCCCATCTCGTGCATTGCAGTATCTACCTACACAGTACAGTATTAGCTGCAGCAGCTGCAGTCTAATCGATAAGGGAAGAGTGCTCGCTCATGGAAGTCTTGGTTTGGTTGACACAATAGGAGGTCCATCTTTTCTGTCGCTAGGTGCCTAAGACAGATGAGGCCGATGGTCAGCCTCTAGAGTTCCTCATCTCGCCTAGGCTGAACAGCAAGAAAGACGGATCCAGGAACCAAGTACAATAGGACACTGCTGCCAGAGCAACGACAGTGCCAGGCTTGCTGATATGGTACACGGCGTTCTCGTTGCTGGGATTTTGGATGGCTTACCAGCCAGAAACTACCTATTTAGAACTGCGCAACCGTGACAAGCTGGTACTTGGAAATGGGTGATGCTTCCTGCTCTTTAAGATGGCCTGAATGCTGATGGGATCGGCTTAGTCTTGGTACCCATTACATAAGCCGTTATGTGGATACTGCATAAATGCACGTTGCTCTTCTGTGCATAAATCCCTTGGGTCATAATAATGCAAACCAGCGACAAGACCCACTAAAGAGAAGCTCTGGCCTCCGGCAACGATACCGCTGCCAGCAAGAAAGCTCTTCAACACTGGCGCACTACGTAGTGCGGATAGCTCATTTTCATGGATGGCCCGCATGAAGCATCTGCCACCTGTCAAGCGCGGACTTACTAGACGATATTCTCACATTGGGTGGTGCGAGTGCTTACCTGAGTGCCAAGGTATTCAAGCAAAGGGGCGCGGGATGAAGTAAGCGGGTGTTCATTCTGTACTTTATTCGCGGTCTCCCGTCTCGAACAGTGGGGAGTACCGGATTCCTGAAGCTTGTCGATTGTGCCCCTCATCAGGAACCACTCCAGACCGCTCATCCAGCCGATACGCGCAATATCGTGGTTGATATGAATGGATGCTCTCCTCTTATCCTCCCATCCCGTATCGAGATTGGCTGCAGAAGACACTTGGAGGGGCAGAAAGCTGCATAGCAACCTACTGTGGTAGGTATGTGTATCTGGGTATCTAAGTACCTACACAGCTACTTGGCTCTCCTGCCCGGGGTACTTGGCTTGGGCAATGTGGTACGGTAAGGTCGCACGGCATGATAGTCGTCGAGGTTGGATCTTTTGATCTTTGTTTCCTCATCAAAGCTATCGAAGAGCAGCCTCATCAGTCAGCACAGTTGCCTTTGCTCTGACTTCGTAATTGCAAGGGGAGGAGATACATAGGATGGTAGGAGTAGGAGGGCTTTGGTGATTGTGCCTGGTTTCGTGTGTGAAGTTCCATCTTGTTCCAGATGTTGGCCAATCAATGCAGGTCCAGACCCAAAGATATTTCGACCAATGAAGTCTCTTGTCCCGTCCAGTCAAGGCCAGTCCTGAATCCATCAGAGCCCACTTTACAGCGCCCACAGTCCCCCAACTGGCCCTGACGCGGTGACGCTTCCCCCCAATGCCGCCCCCCCCCCCCCCCTGCCTCGTCGATTTTTGGCTGGCACTGGCTGGGAAGAAGGCAGACCCAGACTCCCAGACCCAGCCCGACCTGAGCAGAATGAGGGGCAACGGGAAGCGGTGACCTTTGCCGTGCGCTCTTGCTTTGCGGCTTGCCTCGCCTTGACTGGCCGGGGACAAGGCCATGGCCTTACCTCAACTCCATTCGCCCTGACCTTACTACCATCCTACCTTACCTGATCCTCAACTTCTCTCCTCCAGAGTAAACATTGTCACAGCCTTCCAATTTACGGCATCATCACACACCTGTGCTACTTTCCTCCCATAGCCTCCGATACACCCGCTCCCAAACCAAGCCTCCACAGCTCAAGCTTCAGCTCCAGCTCCAGCTCCAGCTCCCACATTTACCCCACCATCACCATCATCACCATGGCTTCCCACGAGCAAGAGGACACCATGCCCGAGGAGACTCAGGGCTACAAGCTCTCCCAGCCCAAGCAGAGTCTGGCTGAGTACCAGAAGATGGGTAAGTCTTTGACTCTGTATTGATTCTTGATCCCCATTTGGTTTCTTTCAGTTCTGGGTGCTGCTGTTTGGGGGCGAGACAGCTCCAGCTGGGTCCCTTCAGAAATGCCCCTCACACCTTTCTTCACCTTGCCTTGGGATCGGTGTGTGCAAGATGTGAGCCTCTTTCATCTCTGCACTCACCTCGGTGACAGGAGGCGGCTTGCTCGACATCCATCTCATGGCACAGTTCACCAAAGAGCCATCAGGCGAGGGAAGGCACCCAGCTGCTTGCACCTTCCTCACCCACGCCCACACCCATTCTCACACTCACTCTCGCACTTCACTCACCTTCACCTTCACCCTTGCTGTCTTTCAACCACTTTTTTCATGATCACCATCACCGTTGCCATCACCAATCTCACTTTTCACTTTCTCCTTATTACCACTACGATATCAATACCACAGTTACCTCACATGTAATACCCTCTCATTACCATGGAGGCGTTATATAAGGGTATGCGTCGCAGGATGCAGAGGCGCAACCGTAATAACGCCCTCGCCAACCGGAACTCCATTGAGGTTCCCCCTGTTCCTCTCTCGACTCCCTCGGGATCGCGTCCTCAGTCATTTAAGATGATGGAGGAGAGACACCTTCACCGAGCAAGAGCTCTATCACACCCTGTTCCTCCCAATCCTCCCAACTCACCCCGCCTCCAAGAAAACATGCTCACCCAAGATCTCAACCTGATTCGGGACTTTTATATGTCTCCCCTTGTCGTTAGGGCAGCACATGGTCTGGCTGTTCTTGAGCCCTTGGACCTGGAACAATACGAGATGAGAGACGACCGGCCGACTAACAGCACCACAGACGAGAACGATGAGTCTCTCCAGCGCTACAAGGAGTCTCTCGGCCTTGGCGGCGGCAAGGACCTCTCTGACGCTTCCGACCCCCGTGTCTGCATCATCCTCTCCCTGACCATGGAGTCTCCCGGTCGCGACCCCGTCACCATTGACCTGGCTGCTCCTGGCTCTGAGGCGACCCTCAAGGACAAGCCCTTCAAGATCAAGGAGGGCGCCAAGTTCACCATGGTTGCCAAGTTCAAGGTCCAGCACGAGATTCTCAGCGGTCTGCAGTACGTCCAGGTCGTCAAGCGCAAGGGAATCAAGGTCAGCAAGGACTCTGAGATGCTGGTAAGTCTTCCCTCCCCCCACTTTCATCTCATCACAGTGGTGCTGACCGTCATCTCTAGGGCAGCTACGCTCCCAACACCGACAAGCAGACCACTTACACCAAGCGCTGTAAGTTTCGCGCCTGAATCAGTGTCGGTTGATGTAGTAATACTGACCCTTTGCACAGTCCAAGAGGAGGACGCTCCCTCCGGCATGCTCGCCAGAGGTCACTACAACGCCATCTCCAGCTTCGTCGATGATGACAAGAAGACTCACTTGACCTTTGAGTGGTCTTTCGACATCGCCAAGGACTGGTAGAGTGGACGAGGCCCCTATGGTTGAATTACACTCTCGCCCTGTCATCCTCATCCTCATCGACCCGAAAAGCTGTCCTGTCTCTCTCGTCTTACAACTTCGTCTTCCGAGTTCGATCCCTTTCCCGGAAGGAGAACGCATGCATCGGCAGAATCGAACTCGATCGCGGGTAGGAGGACATATGTGGTGGAACTCGAGGCAGGCATGCAGGACCAACATCTCACTCGCTCACTTCCAACACGAAGAGAATTCAAGAAGGTCAAACTAGGTCGCGGCCAACACGCAGGAAACATGGGTGATGGGCGAGGCCGATGGAAATTCCCTTTTTGTTCTCTTGCTATACAACAACACACACTCACACAAATTTTGCTCTTAACCTCATACACTGGTTATTGCACATGAAGTCACGATTACAAAAAACAAAACAAAAATTGGACGGTTTAGATGGCAGATACTTTTTTCGTTCTGCTGGGCCATCATCTCTTGTGCCCAAGCTACAAAAAATACAGATCCCTTTGGATCCTCATCAAATGTTCGTCTATGGATCGTCCCGTGGCGTAAGGCGTAAGACGTGACACCTTTTCAATGTACTCTAATCGTGGTGGTCTCGTCCACCTCGCCATTGTGATAATGACCTTTCATAAGTACAGCTCGGTGATGCACCTGAATCGAAGCTCAGACCACACACCATTTTCTTGCTCTTGTATAAATCATCCCCTTCTAATATCGTCTAGGCATCGAATGCAGACTCCAGCCGCGTTACAGAAAGTAATCGGGAAGGGAGTTGCCATCTGCCTGCTTCTCTCCACCACCCAGCTGCATGTCTTTATGCTGGTCATTCTCTGGTGCTGCAGCAAAGACGTTGAAAAACCTCTCGCCGGTGTCGCTGACCTCCAGAACACTAGCCATATTTCCACATCTGTAGCAGTAGTTAGGCGCACTCCATACTGTACTCAAGCGATCGTCGTATAGAACTTGGAAGCCCTCCTGGCATAGCTGGTGTGCTCTCAGAATGTGGTCCATATTGTTTACAGCCAAGAACTTCTTGACTACTTGTGCGCCAAAGGTATAGCCAGCTCCACGTGGACTGAGAGAGAACTCGTCGCGCTCGGGATCGGGATCAGACCAGACTAGGTCGGCCATGGGGCCTTCGTGAGGAATCTCGCGGAAACGGTCGATGATTACGATTTGGTCGATGGAGTGAATGGATGGGGAGAGGCCTGGAGCATACAAATTAGCAAACTGTCGATACGGGCAGGTAACGGCGTAGGCGCGCGCGTAGAGATGTAGGCTGTCTTACCGCCGTGGACGCAGAAGATCTTGTCGTTGATGACCACGCTCAGAGTCAGAAAGTCGAACATGTCGGTAAAGTAGTGCCATACGTTGGCGTTTCCGTATTTTCTTGAACATTCGGTATAGAAGCCATAGGACTGGGTGACGCCGCGAGACTCATGGTTGCCTCGAATCAAATGCACGCGATTGGGGTATCGAAGTTTCAAGCACACAAGCAAAGATATCGTTTCGACACTGAACATACCGCGGTCGACGTAGTCTCCTGTTGGGCAGCCAGTCAGTCAGGCTTTGTATTACCAACTTTTGATCCAAAGCGTACCCAGAAACAAGTAGTTGGTGTCTGGACACCAGCCACCAATCTTGAAGATCTCGATCAGGTCGTAGAATTGACCATGGATATCGCCGACGACGGTGACGGGGGCGCGAACGTGAACGACGTTGCTCTCGCGCATCAGCAGCTCTTTCGTTTTGGCGCAAATGGCCTCGATGACGGATTCGGCGAGAAGTTCCCTCTTATATAAGCGCGAGATGCACTCGTCGAGGTCGACGGAAGCTGTAGCAGCACATCGTGGTCAGGGAAACTGCACAACCTGGGGGACAAGAGCCATTCCTACCTGGGAGCCCGGGCATCTTTCACGTAGTGTTATGCGACAGCAGCTGTGAGACCGGTGGTATCTAGTTGATTTTGGGGTGGAAAAGGTGTAGCAGGACTACAGCGAAGGGTTGTCGCAAAGGTCGGCGGTTCAAGAAGCAGGTCGTCGGAGACCACTTCTACTCAAGAGGCGGGCGATGTGTATTGGGGAGCTTCGTGGTTGTAGTAACATGATCGAGGACGACGTGTCTTTACATGCGAGCTGGAAGCGCGCGGCGGCAGAATGGACAAAGTGGACGAGTTGAAGCGCAGGCTGAATCGACGAAAGATGGGGGAGAAGGGGGGGGGGGGGGTAAATAGTGCACGCCTGTGTTGGGTGGGCTTTGAGTCGTCAAAAAGGACTGGTGGCTCAAGATACCCAGTCGCTCATGGCACAAGAGAGGAAGAGAACGAAGGGAAGCCGTGGCGATGCCCTCGGAAAGAGAGCGTGGTGAGGTAAGCTACCTAAGGCAAGGTAAGGCAAGGGACCTTATTCTTCAGTCGCAGTTGAACATTCTTTTCTGGAATGGTATGGGTGGTAGCTCTTACGGCGGGCAGCGAGGGACGTCATGCAGCAATGGACAGACGACGCCCATCTCAAATTGGAAGCAGCCGGGGGACAAGCTCGGGCCCGGCTGAGAAATCCCATCCAAACATCAGACACTTCACCTGCTCACGTACCTGACCGCGTGCTTACCTAAGGCAGAGTGACATGGAGGACGGGATGTGATTGGGCTTGGTCACATGCTACGGCCCCGCATTCAAACCTGGTAGTTGGCAGACACGGCAGGCTCAAGGCGCTTACGTACACATCAATAATTTAGGGGGTTCTTGTTCGCTACAAGCCCCTACCTTAGCAAAAAACGCCGCAGAAGCGCTGGGACTGCACCACGGCGCAAGGTGATAAATGGGCAGGAGGGCCACTACTGGCCAAGGAAGCCCCAGACTTGTCAGGTCAGCAGGGGGGGGGGGGGGGCGCGTCCATCAACGGCTGCCCTGGGCTCATATAAAGTCACCTTCCCACCCCTCCGTCAGGTTTGACATGCCGGGTGCGCCCTTTTCTTTTCCTCACCTCACGCAGTTGCGTCTGTACAAATCACCTGCACTACCATTTTGATGGTACTCGTCCCATTTTCACCGGCCCGACGAGCTTCCCCGTTCATTGTCATTTCTTCCCGCCAGCGGCAGCTTTGGGTCTGCGATTTCCAGAGAGACAACAGAATCTTGGTTGCTATTGCGAGCCCCGGCAGTGGACTGTAGTTCGATACTTTATTTCCTTGGTTGTTTTCAGACGCGTCTATCATTCACACACTGAGAGATGCTGGGCTGCCGACCCCGTCCGTTCAGATCAATTCCTCACCGTCTCCAGGGTTCAAACAGCACCTGATATCCGGATCGTCATAGAAAAGCAGCCACACTCTCCCTTCACCTTGGTTTTCCCTCAAGTTCTCAGGCACCGATATCTCTCTGGTCTGCCAGCTGGTCTTCTTGGATGTCGCGCCCGTCTATCTACCTTGGTCTCCGTTTGAATCTAGAATACCTAGCCTTTCTTTCATTTTTTGTCTTGACCGTTTCATCTTGCTCCTGGTTGAACTCAGATGCCCTGCGCCTCCGTATGCGCGATGGAACAGCATCTAGATGGTCCCAGTTGAGGTATTCGTATCTCTACCTTTTCAAGCCTCGCTCGAACAGCTCCAAATTGCCCTTGAGCGTGGCATAGCATCATAGTCTGCCAATCTAGCCCAATGACAGCAGATGCGAGCTCCTCAACATCTGGCTCATGACAACCTCGAGACTTGAAGACAAAACCAGTCCCAGATGTCCCATGAGATTTGTCATGCAGTCAGATATTGCCCCTCTAGATCCTAGTTTCTCAGATGATCTGGATGCACAAAGACAGTGCTTATTTGCTTCACTACTTATGCATGACATACCAACAGTGTGTTCTTTGATGGTGCAGGCTGCACGTCGAAGTCTGCCCCCCTCAAGGCACAAGACATGCATTCGTACGACATGCAGCAAATCAAGCTGCATTGTCTGTCAGCTACTTACTGCCTCTTCCCAATGTTCTCGAGTCTAAGCCTGGCTGGACCGTGTCTCCTGCTGTCCTGTCCTGCCCTGAGGCGCCTGCCTTGCGAAAAAAAGAAAGCATGCCCCATCCGGCCCGATGAATTTCCGGCTCCTTTCAGCCTTCTGCGCGGAAGGAGTTGCCGTGGGTGTTCAGCTGTGCCTCACTGGGCAGGTGCATTTGCCCCACTTTACGCCTGAGCCTGGGCGCGCAACCTCCGTCCTTTGGTCAACTTCGTCGCGCTTTCCCACAACCTCATCCCAGTTGCCCTCTCTGGAATGAGACAAAGCCCACGATATTCGCCTGGTTCGGGCCTCGCCATCAGAATCCCTCACTTTGGAGGTTGGACTACGGCTTTCATTACCAACCCATCTCACCTTTCCCTCCATACTTCGGCCATCAGCAGGCGATGCGCCACTCCAGACTGCCTAGGCGCATTCACTAGAGACCTTTGAAGGCTTCGAGGCATCGTCACCTTGATCAATAGACTGCCTGCCATCTCGTGTCTCAGTCAAATCAAGAGACCATCTCATATCCGCCACTACCTGTTCTGGGTTCGCCCATTATCAAGCATCTCCTTCACCTGCTGTAAGCGCAGCCCGAACACCAAGGTTTGCGTCTCTGACTCTCCTTCTCCTTCTTTGCCGAGCACCTTCTGATATATCAAGTCTTCTCTTATCCAGCTCGTGTTGGCAACCTCATCCGAATCATTTCTGCTACTAGTATACGGATACTTTCACCCTTCTCTACTTCTTGTTTTCTTACCGGGCCACTCCCAGCTCATAGATGCTATCTAGTTTCTCGTTACCTTGGTTACGGTAACACTCCCTACACCCTCATTGATCTCCCCTTCCGGGCTTGGGCTTGGGTCAAAGCTGTACGTCGATCCAAGAGCCAAGACACGACCATCATCAACCATGGCCGACCACGCCCCAGGAATGGGGCCGTCCATGAAAGAGCCAAGCTGCATCAATTGTGGCGGCGTTGGCCATTGGGCTGTGGCTTGCCCGG